TATAGAAGTTTAAACCTGCCAAGTCTGAGACTCAAACCACAGACAACTACCTGGGAGTCCAGCGATGTAACCATTAAGCCATCTTCTGGTCCCTATGTTTGCATTTTTTTAAAGGGATGTACACAGGAGAAAGACCAAAGGGGGAAAAAATAGCAAAATGATACTAAAGGTTCTTGGAATAATGTGTTTGTGGGCATTTTGTTTCCTGGATTCATTGTTTCCACAATGAATATGTAATTTTAAAATATAGTTTTGTTTTTTTCTTGGAAAGATTTTTGCTATAGGGTGCGTGCGCTCACCAGAAATACAGAGAGACACAGAATGCGAGAAATCACCCCCCGGGTGAGTGGCCATGCCGCAATCCCTTCTCCTCCATTCTCCTCTTGGGACCTTGGGCACACATGCACACAGACCCAGTGTGAGTTTAAGCCACCAGGTCTGGGACTCGAACCGCGGTCAACTACATGGGAGTCCAGTGACATAGCCATTATGCCAACTGCTGGTCCCCAAATATAGTTTTCTTTAAAGTTTATTTCTTTGATGAGTGAGAGATAGAGAAATGCAAGCGCCCTCAACAGTATCCCATGTCATAAACCCCCTTCCAGCCAACCGGATCAAGGGTGCGTGCCCAGCATGTTCAAGTTGACTGAAGAATGGCACCAGTGATCTTCCATATGAATCCAGTCTCTCTTAAGCAGCACATTACCCTTGCGCTACTGAGCCAACCCTAGAAATACTTCTCAATTAGCAACAGCATCAGACCATTTGTCCAGCATCCTGGATCAGAAAACTTATTCCGAGCTACAATAGCACTTGTATGTTCCTGTGGTGAGATTAACCCTTTACACTTTCCTCCAAGCTAGTTCAGCTGGTGAGGAAGGTATCCTGAGAATGGGGGAAAAGGGGAGACCCAACAAGAGAGTCCAAGGCATTTGTCCTGTACGATCACCCACAGATAAATTGACTCCGTGGCAGACTCAAAAGTTTAAGCAAGGGTTTCTCCTTCAGGAAAAAGACCATAGAAATCTGTGACTTGAGTCTGTGTTTCAAAACAAAGGCACAAGGCTGGAAGGATATTTCTTTGGGCAGAGAGGCCTTAAGTATAGAGCCTGGGTTCCTAAGGATGGGCCCCAGAGCTCTGGCACTCACACTATAGCTGCAGCTGGCTCTAAGGTTCAGCCACAGGAAGAACACACGGATGAGTCTGCTATGGGGTTGGGGAGGGGGATGGTTACAACCCTGCACCCAAGTGGCTGGACTCAGCTAGGCCTGATAGTCACTGGGTAGAGGCTGCTCAACCTGACCTGTGCTCTCCAAGCTTGAGACCCCCTCCCCCAAACCAAAATCAGAATTTCTGGAGTATATGGTGTTTTAGACAGAGTCTCACTGTATCACAGTACTCCTGCCTCATCCTCTCAGCAGCTGGACATGCCACTGCACCCAGCTTTTTAGCGTGGCCTAAGCCTACCACTTAGCAACATCAACCATCACACAACACACAGCTGGGCCCCAAATCACAATTTATTAAAAGTTCAGGCAAACTCCAGACTTCAGCCAGGTTGGGACCTATAAGCACATTCTCCAGGATTTTCAGCCCACACATCCCATGGCTCCCTCAGCCTCTAGACCCACAGGTACAATTTCTCCACTCTTCCCTGCCAGCACCACTCAGTTGTATGTGGGTGTGGGTGCCATGCTTTAACTGATGTGTCTGTCCATCTGTTGACAGGGAGCTGCAGGAGGAGAGTGGTCTGACGGTGGACACACTGCACAAGGTGGGCCAGCTAGTGTTTGAGTTCGTGGGTGACCCTGAGCTGATGGACGTGCATGTCTTCAGCACTGACTGTGTCCAGGGGATACCCGTGGAGAGTGATGGTGAGTGAGAAGAAAGGCCATGCCAGCCAAGTTTAAGCACCAGGCGACCCCACTTCTCTTCCCCAAGTCACAGTGGTGGGCATGTGTCAGGACACAGTCTGAGCCTAGAGCTGAGGCATGCACAGGTGCAGCAGCTCTCCAGAATAAGTCACTCGGGCGTGAGGATTAAATATAAAAGCATGTTGGCATCCCTCACACAGACATGCCCAGTTAATGCCCTCGAGAAGGTTGGTGTGACTTTGGGTTGAATTGAGTGCTCTCCTTTTTGCCCTCGGTACAGAAATGCGCCCTCAGTGGTTCCAGCTGGACAGAATCCCTTTTGGTGATATGTGGCCCGATGACAGCTACTGGTTTCCACTCCTGTTGCAGAAGAAGAAATTCCATGGGTACTTCAAGTTCCAGGGTCAGGACACCATCCTGGACTACACACTGCGCGAGGTGGACAAAGTCTAGCAGTAGGTCTTGTTGGCCCTCCCGTGGGAAAGCTGACTGTTAAACAGCCACTAACTGCTGACCTAACTGGGCTCACTGAGCTGTGAGTGAGGGCTTTTTTTCACTGTATTTGGAACATAATTGAATGGAAAAGAAAATAAAGGTCTTTCCCTTTAAATGTTCTGAGTCCAGCGATGTAACCATTAAGCCATCTTCTGGTCCCTATGTTTGCATTTTTTTAAAGGGATGTACACAGGAGAAAGACCAAAGGGGGAAAAAATAGCAAAATGATACTAAAGGTTCTTGGAATAATGTGTTTGTGGGCATTTTGTTTCCTGGATTCATTGTTTCCACAATGAATATGTAATTTTAAAATATAGTTTTGTTTTTTTCTTGGAAAGATTTTTGCTATAGGGTGCGTGCGCTCACCAGAAATACAGAGAGACACAGAATGCGAGAAATCACCCCCCGGGTGAGTGGCCATGCCGCAATCCCTTCTCCTCCATTCTCCTCTTGGGACCTTGGGCACACATGCACACAGACCCAGTGTGAGTTTAAGCCACCAGGTCTGGGACTCGAACCGCGGTCAACTACATGGGAGTCCAGTGACATAGCCATTATGCCAACTGCTGGTCCCCAAATATAGTTTTCTTTAAAGTTTATTTCTTTGATGAGTGAGAGATAGAGAAATACAAGCGCCCTCAACAGTATCCCATGTCATAAACCCCCTTCCAGCCAACCGGATCAAGGGTGCGTGCCCAGCATGTTCAAGTTGACTGAAGAATGGCACCAGTGATCTTCCATATGAATCCAGTCTCTCTTAAGCAGCACATTACCCTTGCGCTACTGAGCCAACCCTAGAAATACTTCTCAATTAGCAACAGCATCAGACCATTTGTCCAGCATCCTGGATCAGAAAACTTATTCCGAGCTACAATAGCACTTGTATGTTCCTGTGGTGAGATTAACCCTTTACACTTTCCTCCAAGCTAGTTCAGCTGGTGAGGAAGGTATCCTGAGAATGGGGGAAAAGGGGAGACCCAACAAGAGAGTCCAAGGCATTTGTCCTGTACGATCACCCACAGATAAATTGACTCCGTGGCAGACTCAAAAGTTTAAGCAAGGGTTTCTCCTTCAGGAAAAAGACCATAGAAATCTGTGACTTGAGTCTGTGTTTCAAAACAAAGGCACAAGGCTGGAAGGATATTTCTTTGGGCAGAGAGGCCTTAAGTATAGAGCCTGGGTTCCTAAGGATGGGCCCCAGAGCTCTGGCACTCACACTATAGCTGCAGCTGGCTCTAAGGTTCAGCCACAGGAAGAACACACGGATGAGTCTGCTATGGGGTTGGGGAGGGGGATGGTTACAACCCTGCACCCAAGTGGCTGGACTCAGCTAGGCCTGATAGTCACTGGGTAGAGGCTGCTCAACCTGACCTGTGCTCTCCAAGCTTGAGACCCCCTCCCCCAAACCAAAATCAGAATTTCTGGAGTATATGGTGTTTTAGACAGAGTCTCACTGTATCACAGTACTCCTGCCTCATCCTCTCAGCAGCTGGACATGCCACTGCACCCAGCTTTTTAGCGTGGCCTAAGCCTACCACTTAGCAACATCAACCATCACACAACACACAGCTGGGCCCCAAATCACAATTTATTAAAAGTTCAGGCAAACTCCAGACTTCAGCCAGGTTGGGACCTATAAGCACATTCTCCAGGATTTTCAGCCCACACATCCCATGGCTCCCTCAGCCTCTAGACCCACAGGTACAATTTCTCCACTCTTCCCTGCCAGCACCACTCAGTTGTATGTGGGTGTGGGTGCCATGCTTTAACTGATGTGTCTGTCCATCTGTTGACAGGGAGCTGCAGGAGGAGAGTGGTCTGACGGTGGACACACTGCACAAGGTGGGCCAGCTAGTGTTTGAGTTCGTGGGTGACCCTGAGCTGATGGACGTGCATGTCTTCAGCACTGACTGTGTCCAGGGGATACCCGTGGAGAGTGATGGTGAGTGAGAAGAAAGGCCATGCCAGCCAAGTTTAAGCACCAGGCGACCCCACTTCTCTTCCCCAAGTCACAGTGGTGGGCATGTGTCAGGACACAGTCTGAGCCTAGAGCTGAGGCATGCACAGGTGCAGCAGCTCTCCAGAATAAGTCACTCGGGCGTGAGGATTAAATATAAAAGCATGTTGGCATCCCTCACACAGACATGCCCAGTTAATGCCCTCGAGAAGGTTGGTGTGACTTTGGGTTGAATTGAGTGCTCTCCTTTTTGCCCTCGGTACAGAAATGCGCCCTCAGTGGTTCCAGCTGGACAGAATCCCTTTTGGTGATATGTGGCCCGATGACAGCTACTGGTTTCCACTCCTGTTGCAGAAGAAGAAATTCCATGGGTACTTCAAGTTCCAGGGTCAGGACACCATCCTGGACTACACACTGCGCGAGGTGGACAAAGTCTAGCAGTAGGTCTTGTTGGCCCTCCCGTGGGAAAGCTGACTGTTAAACAGCCACTAACTGCTGACCTAACTGGGCTCACTGAGCTGTGAGTGAGGGCTTTTTTTCACTGTATTTGGAACATAATTGAATGGAAAAGAAAATAAAGGTCTTTCCCTTTAAATGTTCTTCACTAGATACCAGCACAGCCAGCTGGGTCCTGTCCACAGGAAGCTGCCACACACGCTGGGCTGTGACTCCCACTGCTGGACAGAGACAGGGGAAGAGGTACAGGGTGGAGGGCAGAGGGGACAGCATTCCCAGTATTCCTACTGTGGACAGCTAGCAAGGAGGGCTGGGTATTTATCTGCTCAGTGGCATGGGCTTTCACTGAGTCATAGGCCAGCCAGAAGGCAAAGTCCCCTCTCACCATCACCCCTCTTCTGTGATCCTTCCTCTCTTACAGAGAGGAAAATTAAGGCCCACTCAAGGTCCAATGGTTTGATCTGTCAGGCTAGTCCTCTTCCACTATCCCTTTTGGACCACCAGGAAAAGGGGGGGAATCAAGCAACCATTACAAAAAGTTTACCTGCCTTTCACACACATTTAATAATGGCTGTTCATGTAAGTTTATTGACAAAATGTTCAGAATGGGGACCAGCAGATGGCGTAATGGTTACGTCACTGGACCCTTATGTAGTTGACCACAGTTCGAGTCCTGGACCGATCAGCTCATAATTCACACCAGGTGCATGTGTATGCATGCCCAAAATCCTGAGAGGAGAATGGAGAAGGGATCACTGTGGCCATACCCCCGGGGGGGTGATTTCTTCCTTTTTGTCTCTGGTGAGCATAAGTGCCCTATAGCAAAAATCTCTCTTAAAAAAATAGTTCAGAATGTAGATCATTTGTAAACAATTCCAGTTTATTGGATGTAGTAGTAGTAATTGATTCCCAGCCTAATAAAGTGCTTCATATATAAACTGACACGCAAAGCAAGAGAAAAGGCCCCAAATACAGAGAACCATCCTGACTTGAGACAGCACAGAGCCCCAGCCATCCTATACCATACTCCCTAAATGGTCTTCCTTCCTATACATCTTGGTCCCACTCCTGAGGGGCACCAGTGTTACCATGGAGTAAGCTGAGTATGGCAAGGAGGGCCAAAGAAAATATACACCTTCCCCCTGATCTACAAAGTCACCCTCCTCCAGACCATGCTGAACTGAGCTCAGGCTACAGCTGACCTCCCACTGAGGCCTCCCTCAGTCAGAGCACAGGGCTCTGAAGAGCATCTCGTAGGACTAGGCTGGGGGGCTGTCCTCCCCCACCAGGCCAGGCAAGGCTGTGGCACAGGTTTGGGCAGAAGGATGCCAAGGTCTCTAGCCTGGAGCTGGGAGCTGCCTCATCACTCCTGCAGAAAACACCAGCGAGAGCCTAGAAATCTACACCACAGCCAGGTCCAGAAGTGACCATGTAAAAAGAAAAAGGGGCTGTTGCTGTCCCCAGCTCCCTTTTCTGCCCTTCCCCTCCCCAGCAAAGAGTTTTATTAGCACCTGTGATGGGAGAAGATGGATTATAAAGGAAGGATGCTTCCTTCTCAACAAACCTGAACCCTCTTCTTCCTGAAGCCAGAGGATACTTCTCTCATCCTGCCCTCAGCATTAGAAACAGCCCAAAGATCTTGAAACCCTGGCTACCGAACAGTCCCCACCCCAGGGAGAAGCCACTGGGGCTGTCATCTCATAACTTACACTAACCCACCTGAAAGTCCCTACCCATAAAGTTCTTTCCAGAAAGTTTGAGTCTTTGGTGGTAGGATTCTCCTTGGCCTGTCTGAAGAGCCCACAGGCCACACCCTCGCTGCCCACCACAGTTCTCCCACCACCTCCTGTCTCAGGGCCAAACAGGCAAGCAGCACTATGCTGCAGTCCAAGGGGTTTCTGAGCCTCAGGAGGGCCAGTGCGGATGGGCAGGAGAAACCTGGTAGCCTGTCCTAATGGGGCTCATGCTTTATGGCTCAGGTATGTCATGGTGTTGAGAGGGAGCGGCCCACACACAGCAGTTATGACTTCCCTCTTTTCTACCGAGGAAGACCACAAGGCAAAAGTGGCCACTGGCTGAGAAACATGGGCCAGCACCCCTCCACATCATCCAGCCTCCTGCCAGGTTCTGAAGGAAACTGCCCTCTTACCTGGCCAGGAAGCCCAGATTCAGGAAGGCGTAAGCAGAACCATGCAACCAACACACAAGGGGCCTGACGCAGCTATCTGCCAGACCCCAAAACCCTGACTCTCCTCTGCTGTCTATGTGGATCAGCTTCTCGAGGAAGACCCACCTGACAGGCACACAAGGCGGCCTGGTGTCCCCCTCTCTATCCTGGGACCTACATGTTGCTGTTAGGCACACAATGGGAAGTTAGAATCCTCTATCAGCTTCAGAAAAGACCCCCAGGGAGTAGATAGGTTTCCCTTAAAAGGAGGAATTTCCCGTTAGAACCTCTTCCAGCATCTCCCAGGTCAGGTAGGACAACAGGTTCCCAGGAAGGCCAAGGAGGACAGTCTGGTTCTCAGCCCTGGGAAAAGCTCTTCTTGAGCATGGGAGGGACTCAGAGAAGTATACCCAGACCTTAAGTGGACATTCTAACTCCACAGAACTGGAAGACACCTCTGTCTTCATCCCAAGGAGGGACATGGTCCAAAAGGCAGCTGCCAGCTGGCCACAAGTGCAGGGAGGGAGACTGGGGAAGGGGCTCTAGTCACCCAAAAGAGGATATATTTATAAGAAGGTAACAGCAACAGATTCCTTCTGATAAAGCCCCTGCTGTGAAGGAACACATGCCCCATACTCCCATACTTGTCCACTGCCCATACCTCATCTTTGCGTGGCTCTTTCAGCCTCAGGGCCACATGGTGTGGACTCCAACACTGACCACCCAAAACCAAAAAAAAAAGCAAGGAGTCCACGCAAGGAAAAGAACAGCAGTTTCCAGCCCTCGGACAGGAAATACCTCCATTCACATCACCTCCAGATACCCTGATCCCACCTTTGTCTTCCACACCTCAGGCCACAGGCATACATGGGGTCATGTGTGTGTGTGTCTGGGAGGAGGGGCGTGGGAACACGACCGCAGAGGTCAGCCGCAGACCAGGGTTCTGAGTGCACTGGAGCATGTCCCTGGAAAACTAACACTGTCTACACACCCAGCAACCCTCTGCTTTAGCAGCACTCTTACCTGCCCCCTCCATCCTGCCACTGCACACACACCCAGACAGTGACACTCCCTGCCCAGGAGTGTCCACCAGCACTGGTTAATGATCCAAGCTCTTGCTGTCAGAAACCATCCCCTCGAGCCATGGCACCAGGCCTGGGTGCAGGAATGGTCCTGCCCTCCCTCTTCCCTGCTCTTCACACTCAGCCCATGAGTCCCTCTCTTCCCTCACTTCCCCAGGTGTTATCTGCTCAGTGGAAATGATCCTTGCCTCTCCCACTCTGGACATCAGAGGAAAACCCTTTCAGAGGATCCTGACCTCTCACCACCAGGCCAACAGGCCACAGAAAGGAACCGAGCAGGAAGAAGGTGAGAGGGTAGGTGGGGGGAGAGGGTGGAAAGAGAGGACCAGCTGGAGAACAAACAGGACAGCAGACCCCTTGCTTTAAGATGCCCCCCTACTCAGACACCTCAGAGCAGCAAGGGGAAGGAGAAGCCATGACCACCAGCTGAGCCCAGACAAGAGCGAGCTCCTTGGTTTTAGCCCCAGCCAGAAGCACCATGGGCTGGGGCATCTGCCATTGGAAGGGAATCGACCAGGGACATGGCATGTGGAGAGTCCGTTTTAGTGAGGCTGGAGAGAGCTCCCACCTCAGGCCTCAGGCACTAGTGAGGACACACGCCGTCCTCCTGTGGGGACTGCGGTGGAGTGAGCACACTGTGTGGTCCGGCAAAGAGGCAGCTTAACTTGGGCTTCAGGTCATTCCACACCTTGCTCATCTGAAAGAGAACAGGGAGAAAAGATGAGCAGGCTGCACTGCTGCCCCCCTCCATGAAACTCCAGTTCCAACTCTCTCCCCAGAGACAGCACACCTGGCCCTGCACGTCACCTCCCACAGGCTCCTGGTCTTTGTTTTCAAACACAAACAGCTACTAGAAGGGAGGGAAGAGAGGCCCCTTCCTCCCCAGAGGGGACCTGAATGAGGAGTGGAGCAGGGACTGGAGGTCATGGATGGCCTGACCTTCAGTCCCTGCAGGCAGGACCAAAGGACCACAAATCTGCTCATGGGATTTTAACATTATTGTCTGGTCATGTCCAGCACTTTTTAACAGCTTTGAAAGAGCTGGCCCTCTGGATGGCTCAGCAGGTCAAAAGCCAAGACAACATCCTCTGAATGAATAAAACATGAGTGGGAATTTAAAACGGCCACCACCACCTTGCCACACACTTTCACACTCAGGATGAGGAATGGACACATCACATGAGGAAGTGGGTCAGAGACCAACATCTGCAGGGCAGAGGCTCACATGCCAACAGGAGAGCAGAGCACAGCCCCAGCAGTGTGCAGACGAGGTCAAGTCCAATCTCAGTGTTCTTGAGACTGGAGATGAATGAGCCACCTACAACAGAGAAACCTCCTTGGACTCAGGGTATGACGATGTGCCCAGAGTGGAATGCGTGCAGCCACTCCTATACCCTGCACGTCATAGTCCCTCACTGGTGTCATCACTGGCCACAGGCCTCCAAGCCCAAACCTGGTTACCCGAGACGTCTTCTGCCCGCTAACAGGGAAGCATTCACACAGCTGTACTTCCTTACATTTGTATAGTTTCTTCCTCTCCAGCCACATTGCTACTGACTCAGCTCAGGCCTGTAGTTGCCAAACTGTGCCAGAAGGCATCCTGAGCCCACAGCAAACTCACAGGGGAGTCATGGGATAAATAATACAAGGAAATTGAGTACCACTTGTGATACATATATACTACAAAAACACCTACTGTGAAGTTGGAGATATTTGGTAACACTGTTATATTCTTTTGGTTTAGGGGTACCGTGCAAAAATTACTCAGGCACTTAAAGATGAGGAACTGAAGACATGGGAGCCTCTCTCTCCAGCTGTCATTATTTCTCACCTAATCCGACAGTCCTCCAAGCCTGGGGCCACCCAGATTCCTAATTCTCTGCTCCAGGGCCTCCTCCTTACTGACTCTAAGTCAGGCTCTACACCCAGAATTTGCATCTTGAGCTACAGCTGGTTCTAACGTGACTGGTTTGTAACCTGGGTCTAGGCAGACTACTTCGATAGATCACTTCCTAGCTGCTCTGTCTCCATCTTCCACCCCTGGGACTGGTCCCACCAAACTGCTGCCGGATACCTCTCTGAACCACAGGTCCGAGTTCATGCTGCTTCCAAAGAATTTCCTGGACCCTGCCCATGCCCCTGCTAGCTGGTGGCTTCCATTCATCCATTACCACAACCCTCACCCCAGGCCACTCCTGGAAAGCTGGCAGGGTTGTACTTTAGGCCAATCTTCAGATGGGGAAACTGAGCCACAGAGGTCATATGAGGCCATAACAGTCATTGTGACTGAGACTCAAGACAGGTGTTTACAGATTTTGAGCCTGAACAACAGGCATCAAGGAGCTGAAGCTGCACCTCCTTTTAGAGGGTGATGCACCCCCTCTTAGGAGACAATTATGGTCCCAGCACTAACAAGAGTCGCAATGGCTATTTGCAAAAAGAATAGAAACTCAGAGAGCAGGAGTGTTTGGGCAACACAGAGGACAGAACAAGAGGAACTGGCCAGTGACCATCTCTTACATTTTTCTTCAGCCCCGGCCTGACACAGTATTCTAGACCACTTGGAGATGGACACAGACCACTGGCTGAGAAGGAAGGGCCAAGGTTCAAAGTGTATGTTGGAGTTATGTGGCCAGAGCATGTCTGTCTCGGGACCGTCAGAGCATTTCTTCTTCAAGGACTGGTGGAAGCTGATAATATCCAATCTGTTGTATTCTGTAATTTCTCACACCTGACTCACACCTTAGTGCTTGGGAATGCTGTATGCTTTACTTCAGATTTCCTGAATTCCTCTAGAAGATTAAGAAATTGCTCTATTATGGTCCTTCTCTGTGCCACCCACTAGCCCCCCAATCCAAGAATCGAGGATGGCGTCACAATTTTAATTGTGGCTACTTATGAGACTAGATGCTTTGAATAAATACAATATTTTAAGGTCCCATGCAAACCCCAGCTCCACTAACAGTCCTAAATAATTCTCAAGGTCAGCTAGCTGCCAAGGGCCCCCAGGCTTGAAGGAGGTGCAGCTAGAAAAAAAAAAGGCATTGGTCAAGACAGGAAAAGGAAGGGATTTACCTCCTTGTGTCCTTGGATCTGGGAGTTAACGAAGGCCCCAAGGATGTGGGAGGTGAGGGGCAAGTAGACATGGATGAGCTGTGTCTCCTGGTGTAGGCAGTACAGGGAAAAGTAGTTCCGAAGCTCCATCGTCTGGATTGCATTCTCTTGCTGTAAGGACAAGAGCTTCCCTTGGCACCTGGGCCAGCAGACGAGGGGAAGAAAGAACTGAGGGCCACATACTGGCCCCCTCCCTCCTGGGACCACTGAAGTGAAATTCAACCAAACATTCGGAAGGTGCCAAGGCAAGAGAGGGCTGGGAACAGAAGGCATGTGAACAGAAGCATGTCAGTCCACCTCTATCCCCAGCTCTGTGCCTGGGTATGTGGGTATCAACAATTTCTCAGGCTCATGGAGTTTAGGAGATGGCTCTGGACCAGCCGAGACAGGTATGGGCAGGCTGCCCCCAGCCCCTGCCTGCCCACCTCCACGATGCGAGACTCTAGCTGCTCCACAGACTCGGGCTCCCGGCTCTGCACGGCAGCACTCATCTGCCTCCTCATCAGGCTGTACTTGTGCAGGGCCCGCTGGTGCTTATGTAGCACGCCCTTCTCATGCCGCTCGCACAGGTCCTGTGGGGCACAGAGAGGGGAGAAGCACTCACCCACTGGCCCCCAAGGCCCCAAAGGGAAGAAACTTCAGGAACTCCCTCCCTCTCAGTCACGTCTGGACCACCCCACCTCCTGGCAGAAGAAAGCACAGAAGAGCATGAAAGGGGGTGGGGGCATGCAGACTCTCGGCAAATTGCTGAAAATCAATGCTGTAATTGCCCCAGCACGAACAGCTTTGTGGAGAAACAGCTCTTTTCTTAAGCAACAGTTCACAAACACTCAACTCACTCACGCTCGAGGAAACGTTCATGGAACTGAGCAGTTCAGGGGGGTCAAGCCCAGTCTGACACATGCTAACTGGCAAGAGAGGCTTGGGGTAAGCTTATGTACAGACCACTACCAGGCCCCAAAACACAAATCCACATAAAATAAGCCCAGTTGAAAAGAGGAAATAGGAGAGGCAGCTGATGGTGGGGTGGTTAAACTGGCTAAACCCCACATGGCCAACTGCACAGTTCGAGTCCTACACCCTTCCACTTGAAACACACTGGGTACGTGTGCTGTATGCTCAAAATCACGAGAGGAGAATGGAGGAGAAGGGACTGCAGTGTGGTCATCCCCCCAGGGGGTGATCTCTCTCTCTCTCTCTCTCTTTCTCTCTCTCTGGTGAGTGCACTGCCCTACAGCAAATACTTTTTTTTAAAGGGGGTAGGGCAGGAAATGTACAGTCAGAGTCTTAGGACAGTTCTGAATGTCAGACTCAGTGCTATATCTTCCAAGCAGCCTCCAAACAGCAGTCTGCTAGCATCAACTAGCCCAAACTTCCCCTCGGACTTTAGAGGCCATGAGGCTACTGACCCACTCAACAGAGGAATGAATCCCTTCTGTAATACTCCCCACAAGTGTTAGACCAGTTCTCCCTGCACTCCTCAATATGAAGGATACTCCATAGTTAGAAAGCTGCCCCTACTCTAAGCTGAGGTCCAACTTCCTGGAAACGCCACCCACTGGAAGAGGTGAATTCCCTGTTTGCTGGGCCACGTAAGATACTTAGAGAGCTATGAGCTTCATGCCCACACTTATCCCCCCACAAAGGTTACTCCTACTAGGTCAATCATCCCTTCATTCTCAGACTGGGAAGCCTGCTGGGGTCTAGGTCACAAAGGCCTGCAGAACCAGCCAAGGGGAAACAAACTGTGGAAGGCCCATCTTCCCTCTGCAGCGCTGGCATCTCTGGCCTTTCCATTCCCCTGGAGTTCCACCCTTGACACATACGATCATTCAAAAGTTCTCCCCAAGACCAAGGAGCAGCCAAGACTCACTTTATAGGACTGGAGCAAATCCAAGAAAAGGTTCAGTTTCTCCACCACATCATTCTCTTCCTGTTTACCCTAGAAAACAAGGGGCAAGTTAACCAACATAGAACACACCCAGGACCAGGGAATTCACACTAAGCCAGGGCTAGCAGAGCTGCACCTCCCAGAGCCAAAGGGGCTCCTTCTGCACTACCTTGCCAATTCTGCAAAAGAGCACTCCTTTCTATACAACGGCCCACACCATACAAGGCAGGATGTTCTCTTGTTGCTGTTTTAATGAAGGAGGTGTTTTTGGTAGGGTCTCTCCATGTCAAAATCCTCTTGCCCCAGCCATGCAGTTAGCTAAGGACCATGGTTGCACCACCAAACCTGACCTACTTAGGCTGGACCAGGAACCAAATCCAGGTCTCCCTCATGGCCTCAGCCACCAGACAGTACCACAATGCTGGGTTCAAGTCCAACAGTTTTTATGGGAATAAGGCCTTTACTTCCACCAAGGCCAGCTGCCCCTCCACTCCAGCTATTCAACTGTTCTTCTTGCTCTCCAAGCTAATGTCTCATTCTCAGACAGACAGACACAAACACACACACACGCACGCGCACATATGCACAGACAGAGCAAGGTGCCTCAAACTTTTTCCCCACAGCTCTGCCCAGTACTGTAGAGAAGCTGAGTTTCTATTTGAAGCTGGGCAGTAAGTCAGAAAGGGGAAACACGTGGGAGTGATACTGATAGTGTGTTAAAGTCATCTCAGCTTTAACACAAGGGAAAAGGGGCACAGGCCTATGGAGGGGGAGCAAGGAGAGGACAGAGACTGTGCCGACAGTCACATTAAAGACATGATCGCGTAACCAAAATACACGAACATGCCAGTGCTTAGGCTGATATGAGATGGAGAAAGGGCCCCACCAGAGCAGAGAAGATGGAGTGGATAGACACAGGTTCCTCTTCTAGCTCCTGAACAGGCAGGAGACAGACTACCAGGCGCACAGAACATGCGCTGTCCAGCCACAGCAGGACGGACAGCACGCTGTTAGTGGAACAGGTGCCCCAGGAATGACAGAGCAATAGGGAAGCCCTGTTCTTGGAGTTATCTGCAACATCCTGGGGACACAAGCAAGCACCAGCAGGGCCCAACCTCCCAGGGACTACCCCTGGCCTGCCCACTGGTAGAAGCACTCAGCAGAGATGCAGGACAGACAGACCACTGCCCTCACTGCCTGACCAGCACAGGTGTTCAGGGGCATCCTTCAGTATGAAGAGGAGGTGCTAAAGCACTGGACTCAGGATCCCTCCGCAGGGGCACTTGAGACACCAGGTGACTGAGAGAAGGCAGCGGAAAAGGGAACTGTGTTGCCTACACCCGTGCAGTAAACACAGACCCTCCCTCAGTCACGACAGCAACAATGTGAGGATGACCATGGGTGCCCTGGGACCCAGCCCTCGTCTCCCACCAACACCAACACCTGTGGTGATGGCCTCTGCCCAAGACACCAAGGTCCGCTGAGCACCTTAAGAAGACCAGGCTCCTTCTACAACATCCAGTGCTCCAACTGGCAGAGTTTAAAGCTCACCCCATAAACCGCACATCTGAGTTGGTGTAAAGGAAGGTATAGGCAGGAGGCAGCAGACTGAGAGGATATGAAGAGAGGAAGAAATTCTGTCAGAACGTGCACTGGGCTAGGGTCAGGGCCTGTGCCCAAGTGCTGTACAACTGCAGGGAACCTGGAAGCCCTGAAACCCTCTAGGCCTCAGCCCTCCTAAGCAAGCAGGTTCACAACCCACTCCATGCCACACCTGAAGCCAACCAAAGTTCTGTTCCAGGAAAGAAACAGTTTTTTAAACTTGGAAAGGAAAACACTGGCTGGCCACAGGTGCCCTGTTCCCACTTTCCTGAGCAGAGAGGCACAGGAAAATAGGTATCTTCCTTGGTCCAGGAGAAGAGAGGAAGTTGAGTCTCCTGCCCATGTTATTTGCCACCAAGTCCCATTTATGACTCAGCACCACTGAGATCCTAAACCATCCACACATTTGCTTTAAAAAAGACAAATGTCTCATCATCATGGAGAAGACAGTCTGGACTCTGAGTCTCACTTGTCTTGCTGGAATAACGTTCCCTCTGACTCCCAGTAGATCTGGGAAGAATAAAACTAGCAAAAGTTAAAATAGAATTAGAAAAAAGAGTCCTATAATGTCTTTAATTATATAGCAACAGTGAAACAATTTTAACTATATTAGATGAAAGTCCTAATGGGCAATTTGATCTGGTATCATGTAAAAACTCTATTGATTTTACTACAACCATGGACAGTAAGGAATATTCAGAAAACAGTACTCCAGACGTTCAATCTCAAAACAGAACTCATGAAATGTCAAAGAATCACAGAGTTAGAAAGAACCTCAAACTACAAAACTCTACCACATCAGAGGCCTGAACCTTTTCTCTCTTCTTCAAGCTAGAAACACAGAAACCAAATCCAAATCAGAAAAGAGGTTGGAATTTTTATCTAGAGATTTTTATCCTGTGCTCTGCAGAACCCCAGGGGATTCCTGATGCCTCACAAGAGATTCGTGCTGAAGAGGAAGCTAAGCAAGGAAAGGGTCTCTCTGGATCCCTGCAACCAGAATGGATTCACTTTTACATTTTACTTGAAGGAAAGGTTCAACAGGTTAAAAACAAAATAGCTCAGGGCCAGCAGGTGTGTGGTGATTAAAGTGCTGGACTCCCACATGGCTGATCGTGGTTTGAGTTCCAGACGTGGTGACACTCACACTGGGCACACGTGTGTGTGTGTGTGTGTGTGTGTGCGCCCAAAATCCCAGGAGGAGAAGGGACTGCAACACAGCCATCCTCTCGGGGGGGTAGGGGTGTGATTTCTCACTTCCCTTTTTACTGACACTCTCTGGTGAGCACAGGCATCCTAGGGTAAAAACCTTAAAATTTTTTAATTTAATGATTAGTCCAGACCCCTTTTAATTGATGGGGAAACTAAGGCCCAGAGGCCAAAATAACTTGGGCAAGATTCCAGCTGTGAGCTCCCCTGCCTGTCTCTCCTTGTAGCCCACCAGCACCACTTCGTTGGTCCTCCTTGTCTTAGAAAAGTGGACACACAGATCTGGGAAGAGAACAGGCCCAGTGCCAACAGAGACACACCAACAACACTCTGAACTCAGTTTCTAAAGAGAATACACAGGATAAGAGGGAGATAATCCGGGACTTTTTGTAAACAATAAAGAGATTAGATTCCCTCTTTAGCACGAAAATGTCTAGGGTTCCTAAGCCCCACCTCAGCGTAAAAAGCCCCCAGCCTCAGTTTAAAAACCCACCAGACACCAAGAAACTAAAGAGCTGCAGGTCCCAGGCAGGGAGCAAGGCTTTAACAAGAACATTGTTTTAATTAATTTCAAATTATCTACTCACAGATTAAAGGGTGATGCCACCAAGAAAAAAAAAAAAAAGGCAAACTTTCACTCTCAAAATTACATAACAATTTTGTGACATTAAAGCACCCAGATGAACCTTTAAGTTTGATGATAAACACTGTATCTTCAAATTAATCCCAAATGGCTACTACATTCTTTATGGATTTCTAAAAACAGCTCCTGCCCATACAGCAGAAGCACATCCTAAGGTTAGGAGGAAAGAAGCCTCTCAGGGTGCTGGGAGCTTACCCATTAGTCTGGTGAGTTAAGTTACCATGCACCACATACTAGCCGATCTGTACGGAAAAACAGGAACTATCTGGTCCACCCAGAAGTCGAAGATGACATTTTCAAAGACAGATTCTATCCTCTACCCTCAGCAAAGTCAACACACTAGAGACCAGAATTCAATTTGCTTTTGTCATTGTGAACTACCTTAAATGGTTCGTGGTGAACCACCTAGAACAGAAGGGGATGAGCAATTCCCACCCAGAGAACAGATGCTCACTCACTCAAGGCTCAGAACTTGAAAATTGAGCTCTGAACTTCCTAAGAAGAAAGCACTCACCCGTGCCCAGGCATAGCATGTTCTTTGGAGCAGATGCCAGTAGAAAACAGTCTACTCACTTGTCGTGCAGCCTTGTCGGCAAGCAGTGCGAATTCCACAGATAGGCCTTTCAAAGCCTGCTTGAGAGAACTCCATGTGCTACTGTGGAGTGTGGCCCAAGAGGGCAGTGGAGTCGTGTCAGACCCTAAAGCACTAAGGAAGCAAAACACACAGGAGAGGAAGACACTGAATATCTCAAACTTGCCACATGGTAGAGTCTGACGTCCACTTTTGCCAGACTTGTGACCCTAAGATCAAACCATCCCATGGCACTCGCAGATCTTCAACCCCAGGCCCTTGATACTTAGTGTCCCTGGGGAAACCTAGAGGTCAGTGGAAAAGGCAGGATCTCAGCCCACCCCAGAGCCGTCATATCAACTCTTATTCCTGACAAGACCCCAGGTGACATATGTGCAGAGGTCCATTTGTGACCACTGAGGAACGTGGAGTGCTGGGCAGAAAGTCTTGCCTCTCCTTCAGAGTCAAGTAAGCATTACCTGTTCATGGCCTGTATTTCCCCAGGGCAAATCAATCTCTCTTTTTAAAAAATTACTTATTTAACTTTATTTATTATTATGATTATTATTACTTTAAATTTCTACAGGACACGTGCACTCACTCACCAGAGAGACGCAGACAGGGAGAAAGTGAGAAAGGAAGTCACCAAGTTTAGGACTTAAAACATGGTTGGCCATGTTGGGAATCCAGTGTCCTAACTACCACACCACCTGCTGGCCCTTCGATCTCTTTTTAAAAATCTAATTCTGGTGACGAGAAACTGCATTCTAAGAAACTGATAAGCTTCAGAAATTCTCTGCCTAACTTTTCCACCGTGTTTTCTCTAACTATGATTCATTAACCTCTCACCTTTGCCTCTTGGAGTGAAAAATGTCAGGATGATGGTTGTGACAGGAAACGAGATTTCTTCTCCAAGCCTACCACCAAAAGATTCCCTTCCCATCCAATTCCCCACTCCAGAACCCTGGAGGGTGACCTGCCTTAGCTCCTTCCCAAATATGAGAAGGTCAGCAGCATTGTCTATGGCCCTCGACGCGATCCGCTCAGCTCTGTCACGAAGCTTGTAAAAGCTATTGTAGATATTTCTAATCAGTTCCCGGCTCATGGCAAACTGAGTCTGGATGTCAGCTGGGAGAAAGTCCTGAGAGGGCAAGAAGAGAAAAACCGTATTACTAGACTTTAAACACCTTGCAGAAAACAGCAGCTGACCAACCAAAAGATGATTGACAGGGCACTGAAAAACCTTATCTATTTGAACAAGTAAAGGAGAAGAGACTCCCAATCTAGGTCAGGTTAGAGACAAGCCAGTCAGTCTCCTCCTCCAGTCTCCCTCTCCTTTAAAAAAAAAAAAGAAAAACAGAAACCACCATCATTTGCATAATTCAAGTACTAAAGGAATGATCCCATGAGAGTAAGACTATAGGGTCCACTGAAATGTAATCAAACTAGTCCTATCCAAAAACACTCAAATAGTGATCTTAAAATTAATTTTATTTATTCATTCATTTATTTTAATTTGACGAGAGAGAGAGAAAGTGAGAAAGTAAGCCACCAGGTCCAGGACTTGAACGCAGTCAGCCATGTGAAAGTGTCCAGCACCTTAATGACCACACCACCTGCTGGCCCCCTCAAATAATAATCTTAAGCCCAATATGATGACTAAATTCCTCAAAGACTCTCCAAGTAAAGGGAAAGCCTCCTGTATTCCTCATTTATTCCCAAAGATTTTATATGCTTTTTTTTTCTAAAGGTTTTTGCCATAGGGCATGTGCATTCACTGAAGAGAGACAATGAGAGAGAAAGTGAGAAATCATTCCCTGGGAGAGAGGGAGGGAGAGGGAATGGCCACACCACAATCCCTTCTCTTCCATTATCCTCCTGAGATTTTGGGCGCATAAACGGGTACCCAGTTGTGATTTTGAAGCCCTGGGTTCAGGACTTGAACCCCAATCAGCCATGTAGGAGACTAGTATCTTACCCACTATGCCATCTGCAGGTCCCTATATGCTTTAATATTAATTATCAATGCTTAGAAACTCAAGGAATAAACTGAAGGTAAAAGACTATGTATGGGGGCCAGCAGGTGGCATGGTGGTTAAGGTGCTGGACTCCTACATGTCTGAACATTCGAGTCCCAGACCTGGTGGCTTAAAACTCATGCCAGGCATGTGTGCGTGTGTGCCCAAAATCCCAAGAGCAGAATGGAGGAGAGGGGATTGCAGTGTGACCATCCCCCTGGAGGGTGATTTCTCACATTCTGTCTCTCTGTCTCTCTCTGTCTTTCTGGCAAGCACAAGTACCCTATACCAAAAATCTCTCAGAAAAAAATAAATAAGACTATGTACAGGGGCTAGCAGATGGCATGGTGGTTAAAGTGTTGGTCTCCCACATGGCCAACCATGGTTCAAGTCCCAGCTTGTTTTCTCACTTTTCCTTTCTCTCTCTGTCTCTCTCTAGTCAAATTAAAAACTAATAATAAGTAAAAGTTAAAATGATTATTAATAAGAAAAAAGAAAAAGAAAGACTATGTATGTATGTAGAAGGAGTTTACAAGGGGGAAAAAAAAGAAAAACTACCAAATAGCTACCTCAATCTTTTTTTGGAAGAAGGCAGTCCAGATTAATTTAAAAATAAACAAATACAAATCTGAAAAGCTGGTAACGCAAGCATATGTCACAAAAAGGCAGCAGATGGTCCAAGGAGCCTGGTGGGCTCTGTGGTCACAGAGCACAACTCACATCCCAGCCATGCTGCTTAGAAGATTGGGGCCTTGGCAATGCCAGCTCTCTGAGACTGTGTCTTCATCTGTAAAATAGGCATGACACCAACATGTTTCAGAGCAGCTCACATGAGGGCTAAACAAGAAAAATATGCCATGGACCTTCACAAAATCCCTGGCATACAGCAGAGGCAAAATAAGTATTATTAAGTGTTGAAATTATCATTTTTTTGGTTGAGAAAAGAAGGAACCATCAAAATTAGAAACATACCTTGGCCCTGGTAGCCAGTTTACAATTCATGAATTCATCTCCAACACACTGAGCTGATTCCTTTAGCTTGTTCTGCACATCCTGCATAAAAGAAATGAGCCTTTATCCTCTACCATCAGCAAAAAGGGTGATATGGGGGCTAGCAGGTGGCGTGGAGGTTAAGGGCACTGGACTCCCACATGGCCGACCACAGTTCGAGTCCCAGACCTGGTGGTGGCTTACTTTCTCTCTTTCTCTCTTGCTCTCCCTCTCTCTCTTTCTCTATCTCTCTCTCTCTGTCTGAATTAAATTAAAATAAATAAAGTTAGATAATTCTTTAAAAAGTTATATGAAACCAAGTAAGTCAATAAAATGCAGAATGTAAGTCCTTCCTTAAAAGAAATACATTCAAGTTTCCTTTTATGTAAGTATTCCATACTCTCTTTACTGTCTCTTCTTAGATTATTTTTCTTTTTATTTTTTTCTTTTTTAATTGAGCTTAAACTTCAAAGTAGTTTTCTATAGACAGGAAAGCCTGGCTTAATGACAGTGGCATTACTAAATACCCAGTTCAGAAGTTGAGAGAGGTCTCTTCAGAAACCCGATTAAGACTCCAAATGAAGCAGCAGAATGGGAAGCTAAGTTATTTCTTTCTATGAATACATCATCAAGGATGGGGACCCCCAGAGCTTAGAAAGAGCCGATGGGCACACCTGGGCAGAAGAGTGGGAGCTGCTCTGGTCCCAACCCCAGGCGCCCAGACCCTGCCCCTAAACAGAGGCTATTGGCAAAGTCAAGTCGTAAAATAAGGAGTCACCCAGGAAATACAAAGACAGAGTCTAATACACAGCTGTGTGTACCTCAAGGAATTCTAGAATTTCACATGTTCATGATCAACTAGTCCAATTCTCTCATTTAAATAAATAAATAAACCCTAGTGCTAGGGCAGGTATAGTGGAAATGCAGAGGCAATGGAGCTTACACCAGCAGAACGAGGGTGCTGCCAATTCAGAGCACAGCTGCATTCCTTCCTTCCTCCCTCCCTCCCCACTCTCTCCTGCAACCTAAGCAGCCCCCAGGTCCCCCCCCACATTCCTCTTCCTGCAATCTTAATCTCTGCTCCAAACAACCTCTCTACCCCCAGGACTCAAAGGGCCATCCACCCAGCTCAAGGCAGAGGTAATAAGTATTTACTAAATGTCTGGAATGGGTGGACAGACACCTCCCCCAGGGGGTATCACCCAGCCAAGACTGCAGCCTTCTTAAAGAGGTCAAAGGTCTCTTCTGCCTCTTAGGGAAGCAAAACTGTGCTGACTCTGCTTTTGCACTCTGTGGCCCTAACCTGTGCCTTCCTACAGCAGGGACAAGGGGCAGGAGCAGATGTCCCTTAGGTTCCCACTCAAGAAGGGGCTTCTCTGTGAAAGAGGAACACCTGGAACTTCTTTTCCTCGTTGAGTCTCCCCTCACCCAATCCCTATACCCTCAGTAAGAGGGACTCTTGAGCACCTTCTTCCTTCTGGACAGGAGACCTTTGCTTCGGCTTCCAACTTCCACTAAGACTGTGTGGCAGCAGCCAGAAGAAGCCACCATTCTGACTTCTAACTGAAACTGACGTGCATGAAGATGTCACTTCCCAACACATGGATCTTGCTGTCACTCTGCTGTGGTGATTCAGCTTGCTTTTCAATGGTCCCCAGTCAAAACCAGCTTCCTTTTTTCTTATTTTTTAAGAGATTTTTGCTATAGGATGCAAGCACTCACCAAAGAGAAAGAAAATGAGAAATCACCTCCCAGGGAGAATGGCCATGCCGCAATCCCTTCTCTTCCATTCTCCTCCTGGGATTTTGGGCACATATGCACGCACACCTGACATGAGTTTCAAGCTGCCAGGTCCTGGATTAGTATCACAGTAGGCCATGTGGGAGTCCAGTGCCTTAATCACTACACCACCTGCTGACCCCACTACCTTTCTTTTTGAAAGTAAACATTTCCTCATATCTGTAATTTCTACTTTTATCAGGCCTTCCGTACATTAACTCTTAATCTCAAAAGTGACTACACTAAGAACCCATGATTTCCAGGTGGATATCAAAATCAAGCAAAGTCAAAATCATAATCACCTGTTATCTGAAGAGAAGTCTTATGTATGTCAATCACTAATAAAATAAATTCCTTCTGAGCATCCACACCAGAGAAGTGAGACAGGAGGACAGAGAGAAAACAAGAGCAAGTTCAAGAATAAAAACAAGAGACCTCGGAACCCACCACAGGCGCAGAACCAGAATGCAGATGTTATTATACTCACTGAGCCACTGAACGAAAGGAACAGCTTAAGGATGACATCCTCGGAGAACGGGGGGTGCCGGGCCACCAGGTTAATGAAGCGTTTCAGAGCTCTCCTCCTGGCCTCAATGAATTCCCTGTCAGCTGAAGAAGAGTAAAGCTCAACCAACAGTCCACTCTGCATGCATTCTCAAAGCAATTCAGGACAGGGGCCAGCTAGCTGAGGGCACAGGACAGGCCCCCATGCTGCCAGGACAACAGATCCAAAGAGGCTGCTTGACGAGTGACAGACCACAATGTCCTATCCCCCTCTCCCAGGCACACATGAGTGCAGGAAATGCCAAAGAAAACCACAGAATCTGTTTCTTTCAATCAAGATTACTGGAAAGCAAGATGGCTTCATGGCACCAGGTGACGTACTGCTCAAGAGAAGATGAATCCCACATGGCGATCTCAGTTTGAATCCCTGCATCCACCCAGTTAGCCTGAAACACACCTGGCCCGTGTGCAAGTGTCCAAGATGCACTGGGCTGGAGGACTGGTGGGAGGGGACTGTGAACGAACGGACCCCGTGGAAAGTGCTCTTTTCTCTTTCTCCCCTCTTATGTGTGTGTACATGTTCTATCATGAATAAAGAGGAAAAAAAATAGAGTACTGAGAGGGGCCCGTTCTGTTGCACAACGATGATGCACTGCTCACAAGAAGTCAGGTCTCACACGGCAACCACGGTTTGAACCCCCAGCCTGGTCACCCTGAAATATGCCCAAGTGCCCGAGACCCAGTGGACTAGAGGAAGGGAACTGTGGGGTGATTAGACCCTGTGAAGGGTGCTCTTCTTTCCCTTTCTTCTCTCTCACTCACTCTCATGTGCACACCCTTACACTCTATTAAGAAGAAGTTTTTAAAAAGTACTAAAAAGGGGCCAAGCAGTGGCAGAGCAATAAAACAATAGGACCTACATGGGAAGGTCCTGGGATTGTGCCCAAGGACCTCCTTGTGCACAGTGGGCCCAAGTATATGCTCATGATTGAGGCAGCTGATCATGAGAGTGGCTCATGGTGTGAAGACCCTGTTGGAGCTGCCTATCTCTCTTTCTCTCTGTGTCTCTGTCTCTCTCTCCTCCTCTCTTGCAGAAGAAAGAAATAAACTTTAAAAATAGAAAAAATATACTGGGAAGAAACCAGGTCTGATTCCTCACCTTGGTTACCTACATTAGAGAGGTAGGTATATCATCTATGATCTCTTTCTGCCACTTCTCTCCATGAACAAAGGGGTTTTTGCTAAGCTCATACATTAGTGCAACTTAGGTTTGCTATGCATATCACTCACAACCTTTCTGTAATGGATCCAATGATTCATTGCTTTCATTGGGGTTAAATATTTTTTACTTCAAGGGAAATTCAAGTAAAAGCATCTAGTGACATATTAAGGATGTTTATATCTGACCACAACAGAAATGGTATTTAAAATACTATTTTTAAGTTTCTGAAAGATATAGTTGGATGAGGTCTACCCCTCTGCTTCAGAACACCAGGTACCCGTTCTGCAGAAGGCTATGCTTTCGCACACAGTCACTACGTAATGAAGCATTGCATGCAGTTTTCGTTGCTAAACACTAACTACACTTAGCCAACTTCGACATTGAATTTCAGTAAGTATCACCTGTTCCCAATATATTTTCTTCTTTTTTTTTTTATGCTTTTAATTTGCCACAGGATGTATGCCAGAGAGAGACAGAGAGAAAGGCAGGGGGAGAAAGCTCTCCAATGGGGTGTGTTCACACCATGACCCTTTTGGCCTCCACTTCTCCATCCTCTTAGAATTTGGAGCATATATACGTATGCTCCCAGAATATTTCTGAAGTCTTTGGGGCTGGGTTTCGAACTATGCTTTCAGTCATGTAGGATACACCTCCCCTATAGCCACCAGGTCACAGAAAAGGTACTCCCCAATATGTTTTCTGATCTCTGCTGCCCTCCACCCAGTGTGATAAAAAAACAGTATGTTCTATAGAGTTAGAAGAAAACCACATAATCAGACTCAGTCTACGCAGGGGCCAATTTGAGGCAAAAGTATAATATTTAATGTCCCATTTTAAGAGATTTCAGAATGTCAGAAACTAGAACACTGAATTAAACCTCAAGCTATTTCCTCATTCAAGTACACAGTTACTTTGGAAAGACAGGGACGCAGCAGAAAGTCAGTTGGTTAGCTTTGGGCACTGGCCCGTGCACCAAGTTTTATTCAGAATTCGAGAAAAGGGCTATGGGAGAAAGGGCCACTAAGGTCCAGAGGTGGTTAACTGCCATCTCCCTGTGGCAGGCAACCCTGGAGGAACAGGCCAGTCTAGAAGGGCTGGTAGGTTATCTGAGATCTTCCACCTAGCCTGAGGCAATCTTCAGGTATAGCAAGGAAGATTTTTTACCTCCTTCAAGAGACAGGTTAGATTTCCCACCTTACATTTTACATCCATTCTCTTTCATAGCTCTCCGAATGCTACTGGTTCTCACTGTTCAGGTTCACAGGTTTCATAAAAGCAGACAAAAGAAACTGCCAGCAGAGTGGGCAAACAGTAAACTGCTCCCAGCCACCCACTCGGGAGCTCTGGGAAGTCCTGGCCACTACGCTTCAGCAAGAACTGGGGTTCCTTCTCCCACCGTTGTAAAATGGGGACCTCGCCACATGTCAGTCATCTGGCCAGAAGGTTCAGATGGGCTAAGGGTGCCGATGCCAGTTACACTCTCTGTACCAGACTGGGCTCAAGCCACAGCAAAGTTCCCAGGACTGCACAGCAGCCCTGCTGCCAGTCCCTCCAGGTCTAGTGGGGTCCATCACCGAACCAGAAGCTCAGAATTCTGATGGGTGGGCTCACTTCCGACGGCCCCCAGGTCTCCAGCAAACCCAGATTTACCTCCCAGCACTCTCTTGGGTGGAAGGGCTGGCACCATGCGATACGGGAACTTGTGAAGCAGCATTTCGTGGAAGACCACAAAGTCATTGTACCGTCTATACACAGAGGACTTGAAGCGCTGTAAGAAAAAGGATGCAGGGCTTAGATGTGACATCAGAAACCATTTCATCACTCCCCTTACCTTCTCCTTTTGCCACTCAACAGAACTCATGGAAGTACTATTACTAAACTCTTCATCTTCCCTCACCAGACCTTTACCGAAAGGGGAAATCTTCAAGTTCCTTAATGTACAGTAATAAGTTTTAAGTTTTGCATAGCTCTTAATTTCATTTTTAACTATCCATTATCATGAATCTTCTGAGAAACAAGACTCTTCACAGGAGTTTTTAACTGCTAAGGGGCACGCACTATTCCTTTAAAAGGTAGCACAAAAGGGTAACGCAAACTGCCTCTTCGACAATACTAATACCAGTGATGCTGATCATTGCTGCCTCCTAGAATAGACTAGGAGCAGACCAATCACTAAATCTGAACTGAAATATAAGAGACACTAGACTCAAACAAATTTGCCTACAACTCCATTGTAACTCCATCAGCTATAATATGGAAGGCTCCACAAGATTAGCATCCAGGACGCCCCACAGCACAGTGGTAAGATGTTGTGCAGACGAAGCCAGATCGCACACAGCCAACGAGGGTTCAGGTCTTGGCCCTGTCAGCTTCATGCCAGGCATGTGCACCTATGGCCAGGATCTTAAGAAATGAGAACAAAAGGAAAAGCCTGTGGTGTGACTAGACACCACTGGGGGGTGGGAGGGCGTCTTCTCTCTCTCACTTCCTCTCTTGTGTGCACGCATGCTCCCTCTAGCATTAAAAAAAATAAAACTGTCTCATTCATGAGGGCAAACTAGTCTAGATCTAATGTAATACATGAGATACCTTTAAAATTAAACATGTGATATGGAGAAAGAACATGAAGTCAAGTGTCCCATCGCTACTCGGGATACACAAATACCTCGTACATCCATGTTTGCCAGACTTAGGCATGGGCAGTGAGCAACTGGAGCAGTGAGCACACCCAGAAGCTTCCCCTGCTCGTTTAACAGCTAAGAGCTGACCCACTCACACACATTTCAGGAAGTGACCTGGGCAAAATTAAAATTACCTCCTTCTGTAAATAATGGGGTACTCAATCTACTTAAGGAAATGGCGGTTTACAAAACTGGAAAGAAGGCCAGGAGCTGGTTTATGGAAATGAGCAGCAGCTCCTGGCATGGTCAGAGCCCTTCTCATCCTATAGGCTACCAGGCCCCAGAAGGAAGGGCTGACTCTCCTGTGACATCACATCCCACACCACAGATGGCCAAGGACCACAGTGATGCCACAGAGCAACACCGTCCTGGAGGGAACCCTCTCCGAACTCTCACCTTCGTCCCCAGTATAGCACTGACTTGTGCTGGGACACAAGATAACAGAAAAGGCATGGACCTTGACTCCTACAGAGACTCACTGCAGACAGCAGTGATGGACAATCTGCTTACTTAGTCCTTTAGGCTAGTCCTTTCAGCCTGGGGCGATCTGTCCATCTGTCGATGAGCTTTTCAAACCAGCTGTGGTGATGCTGTTGTTAGGGCTGCTAACAGTCCCACAGGGAATGACCCTGTTCTATTTATCACTGCAAATCCCTCAGACACCGTGGACTCCACAGCTCTCAAAGATATAGTATTGGGACCAGCAGTTAGCGTAGTGGCTATGTCGCTGGACTCCCACATAGTTGACTGTGCTTCGCGTCCCGGACCTGGTGGCTTAAAACTCATGCCAGGCACATGTGCGTGCATGCCCAAGATCCCGAGAGGAGAAAGGAGGAGAAGGGACTGCGGCATGGCCATCCCCGCTGGGGGGTGATTTCTCGCTTTCTGTCTGTCTGTCTGGCGAGCACACGTGCCCTATTGCAAAAACCTCTTAAAAAAAAAAAAAAAAGATATAGTATTAGTTCATCAACTACTTAATCTCCAGGATAAAAGTAAAACCTCTCATCAAAATCTAACCCAACTGGGAAGCAGCAGTTAGCATAATGGCTATGTCGCTGGACTCCCACGTAGTCGACCGCGGTTCGCGTCCCGCACCCGGTGGCTTAAAACTCATGCTGGGCGCGTGTGCGTGTGTGCCCAAGATCCCAAGAGGAGAATGGAGGAGAAGGGACTGCGGCATGACCATCCCCCCCTGGGGGGTGATTTCTCGCTTTCTGTCTCTATGTCTCTCTCTGTCTGTCTGGCGAGCGCACACGCCCTATAGCGAAAATCTCTCCAAAAAAAAAATAATAATAATCTATCCCAACTGAAAAATAACGGACAAAAGGGACAGAAAGACCAATACTGCAAATGCCATACAGGTTCCACAAGCACAAGGGCCAAGCCTGCTCAGACACAGGGTAAGCCCACAGCAGCACGGCAGGGTTATGAAAGGGGACTAGGCTCACGCATGCCACTCCTGCCCTATATACATGCGATTGTCTACCTGACGTATATATTCTGCGGGACTGACATGCTAATCCTCAAGGGTTTCCTAAAATTGCAAAATGACCATTTGATTAGTTTGATCTGAGGTTTGTGCTCTGCTGCCCATCCATACGAGCTCTCTAAGAAACAGGATTCTGGAGGACGGTGATACTGAGGCTAAACTGGACCAGGTGGGGACACAGCTGAGCCAGAAGAAGATGCAGAGACCAGCACATATGGAAAAGTCAGCTCTACAGCTTGACTGTGCTATCAAGCTTTGGACCTCATCTTTAAGCCAGGCCCTTGTGTTTCTCTCCAGTCCTTCTCCCCATGATATAATTCCTGCCATGATTGTCCCTTTCTCTCTCCCCACTCCCCCCCTCGCCCCACACACACACATCCATAGTTCACCACTCACCTGGCTGGAAACCTCATATTCCACATGCTTCAGGAAGAGGCCCTTCTTCTCTGGGATGAGCTCCACCTGCACAGAGTCCCTGGCTAGCAGCTCCTGCAGAGTGTAGGACAGCAGCAGCGGGTTCCCCTGTGGCATCTGCATTCGATTGGGGTCTGGGTCCCTCCACTCAATGACCTGGTGCGTTGGCAACTCTGCAGGAGGAAAGACCACCACCCAATTAAAAACAGCTACTCAAGGAACTGGCAGGTGGCATAGTGGTTGGAGTGCTGGACTCCCACATGGCTGACCGTGGTTTGAGTCCTGGACCTGGAGGCTTGCTTTTTCACTGTCTGTCTGTCTGTCTGTCTGTCTCTCTCTCTCTCTGTGTCTCTCTGGTCAAATTAAAAAATAATGAGTAACGGGATCAGCAGGTAGCATAATGGCTATGTCACTGAACTCCCATGTAGTCGACCACGGTTCACGTCCCGGACTCGGTGGCTTAAAACTCACACCAGGCGTGTGTGCATGCATGCCCAAGATCCCGAGAGGAGAAGGGAAGAGAGGGGATTGCAGCGTGGCCATCCCCCCTGTGGCGTGTTGTGTTGGCAGCGCCCGTGCCCCAAAGCAAAAAAAAAAAAAAAAAAAAAAAACTCTCAAAAAAAATCATGAATAAAATTAGATAAATAGTTCTTTAAAAAAAAAAAAAAAAAAAAAACAGCAACAGCTACTCAAAAAGCTCCCTCTACTATGTGCTAGGTCAGCACATGGACTCTGGCCATACTGCGCACACCAAGCCCCATTCTTGGCCTACCCACGCTCATTCAGTCATGCTACAGAGTTGACGATGAGAGGCACGTCCTTCTACTAGAAAGAAATCACTAATCTGGGCAGCTTCCATCTGCTCATAAATCAGTGAATACACCCACATCTCTATAACCAAGTCAAATTAGCCTTCAACTAGGGGAAGGAAAACAAAGTAAAATATTTACAAATTACGAACAAGCGAGTCCTCCTTTTCTCCAGAGCCAAGAGATTTAAAAACAAAAAAGAATCTGACCATGTACTCTTCTACATGTCCCAATAGCTCTACCATTAACAGACAGTACTTTCATATGCCAAACAGTGATTATAATTTGTAATAAAAAAAAGAAAAAGAGGGCCAGTAGGTGGCATGGTAGTTAAGATGCTGGATCCCACATGGTTGACTCTGTGGTTCGAGTCCCAGACCTGGCAGCTTGAAAAACACACCAAGCACATGTGCATAAGTGCCCAAAAACCTGAGAGGAGAATGGAGAAAAAGGAACTGTGGTACACCCATCCCACTGAGGGGTGATTTCTCACTTTCTCTTTCTCTGTGTCTGTCTCTCTCCAGCGAGCGCACAGGCCCTATGGCAAAAATCTTTTTAAAAGATTTTTTTTATTATTTTAAAAGAGGAAAAATAAAACAAAAAAAAACTACAAAACTACTTAATAGATAAGATTACTTGATCATACAAATCAAAGAATTAAGGCCTAAGACCCAACTTCTATGAACAAGAAGTCACCCCGGTATAATTGACAAAACACCAAGAGCAGGAGACAATTCAGAGAGATTTTATGCATAACCACTTGCAAAAGAAAAAAATAAGAAAAGCATATTTTTTAAATAAGTTTGGTTTGTAATACAGGGAGAGTTCTAAATAGAGGGGGGAAAGTATTTTCAGCTAAAACAAACAAAAAACGTTGAAATATCCTACAGGAATAAAAGAGGTCTTATTCCAATTAGTGTTGCTATAAACAAGCACAGCAAAACAACGTAGGTTTCTTTATTTTCAAAATTTTCTACGCTATAGTTGTATCATTTTCTATGATTTGCTTCTTAAAGTAACTCGTTAGGGCAAGATGCTGGTTAACATTCTAAACCAATTAGTGACTAGATTATTTTCATCTATAAAATTACTCAGCATTTTAGGATTTGAAATGCAGCTGCCTTGGCCCAGCTGCGGCAGCACAGGCAGGAGGGCACTGCTGTGTGATACCAGAGCTATGTGGGAAGGCACTGGATTTGAGCCCCAGGTCATCTTGAGTCAGGTGTGCTTACAGGCATACCATGATCCTGGCTGACTGGAAAACTATGACAAGGATCATGGCATTCCAAGATTCTGTCAAGGTCCCTGTCTCTCTTTCTCTCTTTTTGTTTCCTCCCCAAATGCTTTATTTATTTATTTATTTATTTTTAATTTGTCCAAGGCCACATGCATTTACTGGAGAGAGACAGAGAGGGGAAAGAGAGATAAGAGAAGGCATCCCCCTTGGAGCATTATGCTACAATCCCTTCTCCTCCAGTTTTCCATCCTTTCAGGATTTTGGGCACACACATGCACCTGGCGCATTTCTCAAACCACCAATCCAGGGCCCAAGCTGTGAAATCAGCCATGTGGAACCCAGACATCAACCACAATGCCACAGGCTGGCCCCAAAACATTTTTGTTTAATTGCTAGAGGGCACATATACAAGAGAGGGAGAGAGAGAATGTGTGCACATGCAGATCCCTACAGGGCATAGTCACATCGCAATCCTTTTTCCTCCATTTCGCTGTCTCATCAGGATTTGAGGAATGTATACGCATGTCTCCAGCATTTTTCTTTCTCTCTCTCTTTCTTAACGGAGATCTTTGCTAAAGGGCATGTGTGCTCCCCAGACAGACAGAGAAAAACAGAGACAGAAAACAAAAAGTCACCCCCCCAGGGGATGGCCATGCTGCAATCCCTTCTCCTCTTGGGATTTCGGGCATGCACACACATGCGCCTGGCATGGAGACTTGAATTGCAGATCTGGAACTTGAACCACGTTCACCTGTGCGTGTGTACCCAAGATCCCGAGAGGAGAACAAAGGAGAAGGGATTGTGGTGTGGCCATCCCCTCTGGGGGGGGTGGGGATTTCACACTTTCTGTCTCTCTCTCTCTTGTCTGTCTGGTGAGCGCATGCGCCCTATAGCAAAAACCTCTCCAAAAAAAAAAAGACTCTGGACTCTCATGTGGCTAACTGTGGTATGAGTCTCGGACCTGGAAGACTGCTTTCTCACTTCTCTCTCTCTCTCTCATTCTCTGGTCAAATTGAAAAATAACAATAATAAATGAAGATAAATAAAATAATTCAAAAAAAAGTAATGGGGGAGAGCTGACCCCAGAGCCTGGTAGACAAGGGAAGCCCAATCCCACATGATCAACCACAGTTTGACTTTCAACCTCAGCAGCTTGAAAAAACATGCCGGGCACCTGTTCATGCATGCCCCAAATCCTGACAGGATCAAACAGTGGAGAAGACAAGACTGCAGTGTGACCATCCCCACGGGAGATGTTTTCCCACTTTCCCTCCCTGTCTCTCTATAGCAAGTGTATGTGTCCTATGGCAAACTGAAAAAAGAAAAAGAAAGGACAGTGAGTTAACATATTCAAAGTGCTAAAAGACAAAAATCATCAACCAAGAATTCTACAACCAGCAAAACTATCCTTCAACAATAAAGGATGAGGCCCAGCAAGTGGTATGATGGTTAAGGTACTGGATTCCCCACATGGCTGACTGTAGCTCAAGTTCCAGACCTGAGAGTTTGCTTTCTGCAAAAAATAATAATGAATAAAATTAAATAATTATTTTAAAAAGGAGAAATTAAAATGTTCTCAGAGAACCAAAAACAGAGAATTTCTAGCAAGCAGACTTGTCCTACAAGAAATGAACCTATAAGAAGAAATAAAAGATACTATTAAAGTAACAGCATTGGTGAATGTAAAAGACAGTATAGACATATTTTTTATTTGAAACTTTTTTCTAGCTGATGCAAACAGACAACTGCATGAAACAATAATTATAAATCTGTTTTTATAGGCGTACAATTTATACAGATGTAATTTTATGACAATGGCAACACAAATAAGGAATAAAGCTATATAGAATCAAAGTTTTCATACATTATTGAAATTAAATGGCATTAATCCTAACTACATTGTTATAAATTAAGATGTTAATTTCATTCCCCAAAGCAATCACTAAGAAATTTGTTTTTAAAAAGTAACAGAAACAAGGGTATTAAGACAATACATTAGAAAATATCTATTTTAGGACCAACAGATGACATAATGGTTACATTGCTGGACTCTAATGTAGACTGTGGTTTGAGTCCCAGACCCAGAAACTTAAAACTCACGCCAGGCGTGTGTGCATGCATGCCCAAAATCCCCAGAGGAAAATGGAGAAGGGATTGCATCATGGCCATCCTCCCCACCCCCCCACGCCAGGGAGGGTGACTTCTCTCGTTCCATCTCTCTACCTGTTTCTCCAGCGAGCACATGCACTCTATGGCAAAATCTCTCTTAAAAAGAAAGAAAAGAAAAGAAAACACTATTTAATATAAAGAAATATGGGACCAGCAGAAGGCATAATGGTTATATCACTGGATCTCACATGGCCAACTGCCATTCCAGTCACAGACCTAGTGGCTTGAAACATGCTGGATACGTGTGCATGCATGCCCAAAACCCCGAGAAAAGAACGAAGAAGGAGAAGGGATTACAGCGTGGCCATCCCCCCTGGAGGGTGGGTGATTTCTCAATTTCAGTCTTTCTCTGACTCTGGCAAGTACATATATCCTACAGCAAAAATCTCTCTTAAAAAAAAAAAGAAAAGTAGAAATGGAAAAACAAAGGAAAATAAAAGGTAATATGGAAAAGATAGATCGATAGGGCATCAGAAGTCTCTATGAAAATTTTAAAATAAAACTTTTCTTCACTGAGTATGTATTCATTTTTAAGATTTTACTGATTATTGGGAACCAGCAGTTAGCGTAATGGCTATGTGGCTGGATTCCCATGTAGTCGACCACGGTTCGCGTCCCGGACCCGGTGGCTTAAAACCCACGCCAGGCGCGTGTGCATGCGTGCCCAGGATCCTGAGAGGAGAATGGAGGAGAAGGGATTGCGGCGTGACCATCCTCTTGGGGGGTGATTTCTCACTTTCTGTCTCTCTGTCTCTCTCTGTCTGTATGGCGAGCGCACACGCCCTATAGTGAAAAAACTCTCTAAAAAAAAAAAAGATTTTACTGATTATTAAAGTAAGATAATCTTCTAAAGCAGAATGTAACTCAGTAATGATTATCAAAATCACATGCTGATGAAGAATTTGAACTTTGATCACATGAGAATCTAAAATACAAAACTTGAAAAACACACTTTAAATTAAAAAATGCTGCTTTCTTGATTAGTTTCAAATATCTTAATAACACTTCTGCAAAAGTTTCAATTATAAGAAAGCTGTGGTTCCAAATACCAATTTGCTAAATCAGAAGCCCACATTTTCTAAGCAAATGTTAGTTAAGAAAGGATGGTTTCAGACAGGCTATGCTGTCATGTGATGGCCCACACACTGCAAAAAGAGCAGAATCACAAGGAAGATACTGGGTTTTGATGGAAATTATCTTATGTTTACTGGCAGGACTTGAACACTTTCATCACCTGGCGGATGCACTGTACACCCACTGGCCCCCACAGAGATAAAACAGATCAGACAAAAGAGACCAGCACGCCCTATATTGACAGCCTGTGGACAAAGAATGGGGTTTGACTCAGGGAGATTTGGATCGAAATCCAACCTCAGTCACTCCCCAGCTAGTAGCCTAGTGAGCCGTCATTGAGTTTACTTTTATAATCAATAAAATGGGTACGGGGGAGGGGGGGTGCTTTTCTCTGGGCCTGGCAGTCACCATCTATACTTGATTACAGGAACAACCCCTTACGCCCTTTCTATTTCTTCCCTGCTGGTGTTCAGGTTCAACCCAGAACTTGGGA